AATATCAGCTAACTAGACAGGATTGTTTAAGGGTTAAAGGTATAAAGCTGGGGTGGTGGTCAACACCTTTAATCCTAGCACTTGGGAGGGCCTGGTCTCCAGTCAGGCAGAGTGAGATGAGGTCTCATTAAAACAATCAATAGTGTTGGGCAAAGTAAATTTCAATAACTGGTATTATTTTTAGATGTGTGACAGGCAGAATCCCAGTAAATTTCATTAATACACTAATAAAATAGTCAAACTGGACATAGTAGCAAAAAACCCATACTCTCAGCACTTGAGAGGTAGAGGCAGAGGGAGATATCAAGGTAAAGGCCAATCTGTGCTATACAGCAAGACTCTGTCTTAAAACTCCCAGAAAACCAGTCTGAAAGAGGTGAAGTAGGGAAGCAGTGAGGTGGGCACTTCACAAGGCACACCTGTTAAGACACCAAACCATGCTGCACTAGTTGTGAGAGTGGCAACTCCTAAGACTACAGCGTTTTCTTCTTCTTCTTTTTTTTTTCTTCCAATTTGCTGAGCATATTTTATTTATGTATAAGGGCCTTGAAACTGTTAAGATTTTGGGTTTATAAATTACTTCAAGTTTCACACCACGACAATTTCCTACCATAAACTGACATTCCCAGCTGCTGGAAAACAGTTGGTGAGCTCAAGCAAACTGAAGTAAAAGAAATGAAGCCAGAGAGAAAGAAGGACAGGGTTCAGCATGGCAAAGGAAGGGCCTATCTATAGGGATCCCCAACTGTCCCACCCACAGTACTATCGCCCCAAGTGCACTGTCACTCAGCTCTGCTTGGTTCCCAGGGAAACAACTAACAAGGAGTAGACACTACAACTCAGTATGGAAGGTCCTTTCCAACATGTGCTTCCCTCTATAAAAAAACTGCCACATACAAGTCCTTTTCCGAACTCAGGGTGGTTTCTCAAGTACCTCCACTCATCTTCCCTGCCTAGAACAATAAGAAACCTGCTCAAGTTTCCTTAAACTTGAAGGTATCATGAAAACGTAAAAAGAGAAAACAAGAGGCTAGAAGAAACCTTGGCAATATGTTCACATTCCTCATTTCCAAAGTGAGTAAGATTAGTAGAAGGCATTTCTTGTCTAATTTACAAGATATCTTTAAGGCATCACACATATGACAAACGCTGCTAGGTACGAGGAAGAATACATCAAGGGGCCATATAGACTTGGTGTGGAGAATACCAGACAGGTCAAAGGCAGATTCTAGTCCTAAACTAAACTAATCCTCATGATGTTTCTTTCCCAGCTGCAAAAGAGCTATGGTTAGATATGAAAATAAAAATAGTTACTAATTGTCAAACTTCATTTTTTTTTAAATGCCTACGATTTCTACGACATTCTTCTGAGGCAAGAATGAAGACTGCCTCAGCATCAAAAGGACCTGAGTTCAAATTCTACCTCTGCCACTTTCCTATCTATGTAAACTTAACCTTGTTAGGCGCCTATAAAAGACTGAAGCTTTTAAAGATAATCTATGTGTAACCTGGTAGAATATTCACTCTTCGCTACATGGTAAGTACTATTTTTTAATTAAAAATATTTATTTGGAGCCAGGAGTGGTGGTGTAGGCCTTTAATCCCAGCACTCAGGAGGCAGAAGAAAGAGGACTGCAGCAAGCGTTAGGCCATCCTAGTCATAGAGTCCAGAACATTCAGGGATATGGAGTGAGACCTAGCCTTAAAAAAATATTAAGGGGCTGGAGAGATGGCTCAGTGGTTATGAACACTTATTATTCTTGCAGAGGACCTGGGTTCGGTTCCTAGCACACACATCAGATGGCTAACAATCACCTGTAACTGCAGTACCAGGGGATCTGACACCTTCTGGCCTCCACGGGCACCTGTACACAAATGCATACAAACACGCACACACGCATACACATAAATAAAAATAAAAGGGGCTGCATTTTTTTTGCAGTGAGTTATAAAGCTTTCCTTTAAAACTGTTAAATCTTTTAAAAAATATTTTATTTTTATGTGTATACATGTATTGCCTACATGTAGGTAAGCATACCCGTGTTGTGCAATGCCCACAGAGGACAGAAGAGACTGTTGGATCCCACAGAACTGGAGTTACAGATATTCGTTAGCTGCCATGTGGGTGCTGGGATTTGAACCTGGGTCTTCTGCAAGAACAGTCAGAGTTCTTAACTTCTGCGCTACCTCTTCAGCCCCCTAAAACTGTTAAATCTTAAAAAGCAAGATATATGGGGCTGGAGAGATGGCTCCGTGGTTAAGAACAGTGGTTGTTCTTGCAGAAGACTTGGGTTTGAATCCCAACACCCACATGGCAGCTAACAACTGTCTGTAACTCCAGTCCCAGGAAATCTGACAGCCTCTTCTGACCTCCGCAGGCATTGCACGACACAGATGCATTTACCTACATGCAGGCAATACACACATACACATAAAATAAAAATAATAATAAAACATAATGACATATCAGTATGTCATTTCTCATTTATATGGTATCAAGAAATGTGCATGCCATTCTTCTTTAATGTTTATGTTGTTAGCCTTAGCCTTCAATGGCTGTGCCATCTCTCCAGCCCATATGTCATCATTCTTAAGCAAAACTTGTTTAGAATATTATAATTATATGATAATACTGTTAAAATCAGTTACATCTGAAAAGGAAAAATTTGCAATTATTTAATGGAAGAAAATAGACTTAATTTTACTACATATTCCTTTGTACCTTGTAAATGTGTTAATATATTAAAAATAATAACTTTTAGGCCGGGCGTGGTGGCGCATGCCTGTAGTCCCAGCACTTGAGAGGCAGAGGCAGGCGGATCTCTATGAGTTCAAGGCCAGCCTGGTCTACATAGTGAGTTCTAGGCTAGCTAGGGCTATAGGGAGACCCTGTGTCAAAAAGACCGGAAAAAAATAAGCAAAAACAAAACAAAAGCCTTTTATTTTGTTTTGTTTGAGACAGTGTCACACTCTGTAGCCCTGGCTGACCTGGAACTCACTATGTAGACCAGGCTGACCTTGAACTCAGATTCACCTGCTTCTGTCTCCCACTATACACAACTTAATAGCATTTTTTAAAACAATTTATTTATTTTTATTTTATGTGTATGAATGTTTTACCTGCATGTATGTAAGTGCACCTTGTGTGTACAACGGCCACAGAGGTCAGAGAGGGTGCCAGATCCCCTGGAACTGGCATTAAAGAGGGTTGCTAGCTGCCATGTGGGTGCTGGGAACTGAATGTGGATCCTCTGGAAGAGCAGCCAGTGCTCTTAACCATTGAGCCATCTCTCCAGCCCCTATAACATTTTTTTTTGAGATAGGGTTTCATGTAGTCCAGGTTGGCTTTGAACTCTTGCTCCTCCTAAATCCACCTCCCAAGTGCTAACTAGCATTATAGATGTACCCCAGAGAGCTCAGCTCTGTAATTTTTTTTTTTTGTCTTTTTGAAGCAGGGTGTCCTTGTGGCCCCAGCTATCCTGGAACTCACTATGTAGACCAGGCCGGCCTTGAACTCACAAACTCACAGAGATCTGCCTGTCTCTGCTTCCCAAGTGCTGGGACTACAGGCGTGCACCACCACACCCAGCTTGTAATATCTTTTAACTAGTAAAAAACACGCTGACTCTTAACACAGGATTCTGGGCCTGGTCTGACAATTGCAGAGTCTAGAAAGTTCTGAAACTCCTGCTTAAGAACAAATCTGCTTTCCAGAATTCTCTGGAAACACTGAACATTTATTTGGAAATTCTGGTTAGGTTTTCACAGAATTTACCTGTTCTTTTGATCACTGATAAAACTAAACAACTAGCCTAGAAACTGAAACTAAAGAACTTGGGAGACTTCTGGAATGCTCTCCACACTGGTATACTTCCATTTTCTGTTTTTACCAGGGGAGTGAAGGGAAGGAAAATTTTCGATGAAAATCCCAGATACACCCTTTACTCACACAGCAAGTATTCCAAACCAGGTGCACATTCTTGCATAGCACGAGCTTCCCCCACACAAGAACAAGTCTATACCATGCAGAACACAGCCCTATAATGAAGCCTTTGCAAAAGTCTACCAGCAATTTAGCTAAGGCAAACTGGTGTTTTTGTTGTTTTTAAATTTATAAAGTTAGTAGCTGTATCATGCAAGCTGGTTAAGAGCATTGCTTGTAGGCTACAAAAACCCTCCAGGGCAAGGCAATATGTGTTGAAGGTTAGGTTCAGGGAGGCCATGACTAGGTGTGTACTTCTTGGGGGGAGGAGAGGAGACTAAAAGCTAAATCTTAAAAGAATCATCTCAATCTCATTCCAATTGCTTGACTTTAGAGTCCCAATGGACAAAATTAGGAGAAAGTCAACATAAGCAAGTTTTATGTACTGTTTCATGAACAGACTAGAACCAAAACTGTAAATGGAGCTATATCCCCGAGAGATCATTTCTTACCATGAGAAACACCAAGTCTATGTCTACCAATGCTAGTCTGAAGCTACTATTTCCTAAGAAGAACGCAGATCATTTTCATTTGATCTAAAAGCAATCTGGATATTTATTCTCCCCAGCTCAAGCTATTTACATACTAAAACCAAAAATAAATAAAGCAACTCTCATATATTTAGCTAGATGAAGTATTTTCTTTCCTGCTGATTTGAATCATTATACAAAATAGTGATTGATGCTTTGCCTAAACTTTACACAGAGGAAGCACAATAAAAAAAAAATATGATTGCAATAGGCTCTTCCCCGCACCCCCAACTTCCAATAAAACTCGAGGTTCAGTGCTGGGTAAAAACACATGCAACCAAGTCACCAGCCTCCTCAAGCTGGACACAAGGCATGCCTTCGCTGCAGAAAACATGTAAGGGGTAGTTATGGGTTTTCATGCCAACAAACCAATGGTTAACAAGGATGATTATAGTCTAGATGGAACCAAGGCACAAGCTGTTGGCTTTTTTTTTTGATGCTGACTCAAAAGTCACAAGCACACATATTTCCCCATCACAGGTTCATACCACTGGACTTGAGCAGCCTGGATTTGTCTCTTTCCTGGCTTGTGAACTTTGGCAAAAGTGGAGTAAGTCCCCGGGACTTGGTAGGTCTCATGTAGCCTTTCACTGGCTCTGCCATTCTGCTTTTATCTTTTTTCTTTCTTTCATCCAGTGTCTCCAATTCAGACTTTTCTGTTAGTTTCTGAGGTGCTTCCACAATACTGTCTTTGAGTTCTGGGACTTGATGATCTTCGGAAGCAGTCACTACTAGCTTATCTTCCACCGCTGAAGGAGGGCCCTCAACACTGCCACATGAGAAATCCGACAGCAGTGCTGGTGTGAGCATGGGAACAGATTCCAATTTTGTGACTTCACAAGGCAGACTGATTTCTTTCATTTTTTCCTTTTCATTTTTTAGAGGCCAAAGAGTTGTATCTACCTTATTATCCAAACTATGTGGGCTCTTGGAATCTCTCTCTTTCACATTTTGATACTCACATAAACTAAGCTTCTGTGCTTTACTTCCCAGGTCAGGGTTTTGAACTGGGGCAGAATCTCTCTTAGTTCCCTTTTCTTTGTTCACTAGAGATGCTGGCAAAGCACCATTATCTGCATGTGTATCTAGGACTCTGACCTCTCCTGGCAGGCTCTGGTTTTCTGTGGGCATTCCAGGAAGAAAGTGTTCTTTGGATGGCTCGGTGACCTGCTGTACTGTATGCTTAGAGGCCACATGGTGCACCGACTCAGATTCTCTGACCTCATGCCCTTCATTGATTACCCCTACTTTATTTTTCCTGTGATCATCAAGCTTGCCTTTATTCTTAAGACAGTGATCTCCGTAACTGTTAACCTTTTCTGTACCTTCTGTAAAAGTCACAGCAACTCGTTCTGTGCTAGAAGGCTTAACAGAAGAGGGAATTGCTGGTCTTTCCTGACCTGGGACTCCATCTTTGTTGTAGGTATCTTCCACTAATAATCTGGAAATCTGGTCTGGAACTCTCTCTTGCTCATTTTTTGTACAGGTGTCTGGTAAGGAATCACCTTTCTTTATTACCTGAGAAGTAGGAGTGGACAGTGTTTCACAGTCTGCTGATTCCACAACCTCTAGGGGAGCTGACTTATTTATTGGCCCTGATGGTGTTCTCGGACAGGTAAATGCAATATTTCTATTTTCATCCACATAGCCCATTACTTCAATTCTGTGGTCTCCTGTGGTTTCCATGGGAATATGTATTTTTGCAGTATCTGTCTTAATCTCCAGAATGTGCTCCTCAGGAAAACTACTTTTAGCCTCTTTACATTTCTCATCATTACTCCTTTTATTGGGTTTGTCAGCCACTGCAGCGTGTCGCTTGGCTGCACCTCTCTTGTTCTTCTCAGATACTACCGAGGGAATAAATCCTGCCCCCTGGATTTGGTTTTGGGAGCTCACATCTGTCGCTTTGACAGCTGGTTCAGTAATAGCAGTGTCCTTGATTGTGTTTTTTTTATTCCCCTCAAGAACACCAAGATCAACAGAATTAGCTTCAACATTTTTATTCTTTCTGTCAAGGACTTCCACAGTGGGTGTATGTGATGTATGTAAGAAAATAGGATCATGTGGTTTTGGGAAATTTTGTCCTAATTCTCTGTTTTTAAGGCTAATAGTACCGGTATCACTGTCCTTCTCTACGAAAGGTGGGTTGACAATTTCCTCCTTGCCCCCCATTCTGGTAGGCTGTACAGGATAATTATTTTTAAACTTTTTGTTTCTGCCTTCATTGCCTTTCTTTTTAGGCTTTTCAGAGATCCAGGGAGTTGACTCATGATCCACCCAAGGGTACTTCCCTTCCTTACCCGTATTTTTAACTTCAGCTCCTCTTTCTATCCTAGCATCGGAAGTCTGAGTCAAGCCTGACCCAGTTTCCAAAGGAATCAATGCCTGCATGGTGCTTTCCACACTTGCAGTCATCTCTTTGTCCACCCTCACTGCCACTGGCTCAGTGAGTTCAGTAACAGCCCCTGGTTGCTTTGAAGAATCCAACTCTTGCTCTCCTCTCTTATCCACAGCAGTCACTTTTTTTTTCGTTTCCGGAACTAGCTCACTTGGCAGAACAGCCCTTGCATCCTCGCTGTCCAGAAGAAATGGCACCTCAGATTTCCCTCTCAACCTCCCAGAACCTGCTCTGACTTTCCCAGAACTTCCCCTCCCCTTTCTGCTTCTGCCATCACCTGTCACTCTCTTGAATGTCTCATTCCTTGCCCCAGGAGCCTGCATTAACACTTGGTCCTTCAGCTCCTGAGAAGTAAATAGGCTGATTTCTTCCCTTTGCTTGGGAAATACCTCTGTTTTTAGTTCTTTAACCTCTCTAACTTTGTCTGGGAACTCTTTCTGATTTTTAACATCCTGCAGTTTAGTCACTTTGCTTTTATTATTTGCTTCTTTTAGACTATCTTCTAATGGACTGCTTGCTGTTGAAGTGGGGATCAAACTTGGTAGTACTTTTGCTGTTGTAAGTTTTGAAACTCCATTCATAATATCTTGGCTTAGGACAGCAGAGCAACCGTCTTTGGGTCTGGTCTCCAGAAGAGTTTCCACTTTCTGTACAGACACTTCTGTCAGAGGTTCTTTTTGACTGGGAGGACCCACTGACTGTCTTGTATCCACAGAAGGCTTGAGGAAAGATGTAGGGGCTTTGTGTTCCTCTTGCTGTAGCAAGTTCGTATCTTGGCTTTCTGGCAGTGATTTCCTACCTCTGCCCTCTTCCTCTACTCTCAGCTTGGACTGAGAATTTGTTTGTTCGGAATAGGAAGTAACTCTGAGGCACTCTGAACCAACTCTACAATCACTTTTCAAGTTGTCTCTGGATACAAATCCATATTCTGTGCCCTTGGGGGTAGGCTGGCTAGAAAGAACATCTGATTTATGGGGCCCAGCTACAAACAAATGACCTTTGGGCTCTGCAATGTCATCATCCCAAGGACCCCCAACTTGGGACTGAGGATATCTCTTTTGCTTTGGTTTTTTCTTCTTTTTCTTCATCATCATCATTGACATGCCCTCTGTGTCCCAGGCTTCCCTGCCATGATCTCTCTGGGGTGCCAAGAAGTCAGAATGAATACTTTTCCTTTGGTTCCCACGCTCACCATAGGAAGATGAACCAGGAACCCAACCCAACTCAGAAAAAGGGCAGGGGCTCTGATTGTCATCAAGAGTCTTCAATGAAGGAGAGCCTTCCAGCAACTTAGAAGGGGCCTCGGCAGGCTTGGGCTGGGCTGACCTGTGGTAACTGGGTCTGCAAACTTGTTTGCCTTGTGAGGGAGGGGTACCTGCAATACATGAACTTGGCTAAAATTCCAAACAACAAATTCCTTGTTACTGTTTCTAAAAAGAAAGTCTATTTAGTGACCCATTAGTCAATTTTTACTACACCATTTATTAATGTATTTAGGAAAACTTTTTCTAAAACATTTCTCACCCTTAACTGGTTTTATGAAAGATCATCATCTCAGATAAAGAATTTCAAACATCTTTACAATATATTATTCCTTGTTACTGTTTCTAAAAAGAAAGTCTATTTAGTGACCCATTAGTCAATTTTTACTACACCATTTATTAATGTATTTAGGAAAACTTTTTCTAAAACATTTCTCACCCTTAACTGGTTTTATGAAAGATCATCATCTCAGATAAAGAA